GTAATCCATTCTGGAAAAATAAATGTTTCTCCAGCTCACTGATCGCCAATTCTGTCTGCGACAGTAAGTCTTGAAACTTAGAGACATACTCGTGGATAGTCTCGTTCTGTTTGAGACGAAACATACTCTCACGAAGATCGTACTCGAAGTCCTTTGGTCGAAAGCGCGTGCGCAGTTGTTGCTTAAACAACGACCACGTGGGATTCATATTCGATCTCTCATATTCGGCTATAAAAGCGCGATACCAGTTCAACACTGACTTGCCTAAGTTGCTGAAGATAGTCGTTACGAAACCGGACGAATCGGCCTCCATTAACTCACGTCTGCTTGCATAATACTGCTCGGCGGCGAAGATCCACAACTCGATATCTTCGCCGTATTTGCCTTCATACATCGGCGGGTCTTTCTTCTTCTGATCACCCCGCGCCGATATCAGATACTCGAATCTTGCGTTAGCTTGCTGCATTTGCGCTTGGGCGGCTTGCTGCTGTTGCGTTATAAACACTAACGACTGCTGCATTGACATCCCATCAGGGCCTGAAGCTTGGGTAGTCTGTGCATCCGGAGCCGCAGTGTCCGTCGGTGCTTCTGTACTTGGTTGTGACGCTTCTGCATCACTCGGCGCATTCATTCTGCTTTGCTGCCGAGGACGAGGGTTCAGGGACGGGCGCTCAGCGGCACGGCTTCTTGTTTGAGCCATAACAGCTGGCCTTCTCAGCGCGTATTAAGGTCTACCGAAACCCCAATGAAGAAGAAGAAAAGAAACTACTGCTTTTGTTTCTTAAGTCTACGCTTCTTGTCGAGCTGGATGGAGTAGTCGAAAGTTCCTTCCAGAATAGTCTGCGTCTGGCTTATGCGGTGTTGTAGCAGTTCAGTCGTATCGTGCACGACGTTCCTGGCGTCGGAGTCCTTGCAATCTGGAATTTCGTTCCGGATGAGTTGAACGATCTTGAGCTGCTTCTGCGTGGTCAACCACAAGTCCTGTCGCAGTTTGTCGAGCGTTTCACTGCGGGTCGTCAAGGACTTGGTGTCGTTGATAAACGGTGCTTCGGGTTGGCGAGTCTTTCGCTTAC